CAACCCCCCCCCCCCCCCCGCCAGAAAAGAGGACAATGAGGGAACAATTTTGTTCTTTTTAAAAACCCGAGTGCCACTAAATAGCTAGCATTTAGCATATTGCCACTGGAAGGTGAAATTTCCCATTGTGACCTTCCGATGGGATGAATAACTTCCCTTGGGGAACTCAAGGCTGACCACACCACAGGGGTGGCCGTTGGGAACATTCGAGCGTCATCACTGCACAAGCAGTGTTTTAGGTGGTGATTCCTAAAACCTCATTAAAATACCACAGCAGTGTCTTTGCATATTTCCTTCCCTCTTCCTGCTGCTTCTTGAGACACTTCAAGTCTCTGCTGCTCTGACTGACGGCCTCCCGCCGTGTTATTCATTCAGAGGTGTCACCATCCATCATCCCCGGAACAGTTAAAGCGTCAGACCTGTATTGTGACATCCATGAATGAAGCAGGCAGGAGGAGGTTGACTTTTGGGGTTTGGGTTACTTGTTTCTTCTTTTTTTTTCCTTCTTTTTTTTTCTTCTTTTTTTTTCTTCTTTTTTTTTTTCTTCTTTTTTTTTTTCTTCTTTTTTTTTTTCCCCCAAAGGTTGTTCTTTTGGTGGAAGCACATACTCACACTCCACCTTCCGCTGGCTAGAGAAGTGGGAGCGAGCGCAGTGGTATTTCTGGGGGTTTTCGGTGCATGTTGTACGCAGCACGCTGGAGTTTACATAGCCTTATTAAAGAAAATGGCACAGTATACTGCCAGCCTTAAAGAGTGAATTGCAGAGAAAAATCTGATGTAAATACGACAGAACGATTAATTAAAGAGTTACCATGTAGGCAACCTCGCAGCGGTTTTAACAAAAAAAGAGCTTGAAGCTTTGTGGGGTTTTTTTTGTTGTCACTGTAGCTGACATCCATGTACACTAGGTGACAGAAGGCTAATACAGAATTTTAAAATGCCACAGATGCAAGGAAAATTCACCTTCCTCAGTTGCCAGAGTGGTCACCAAGCATTTATAAAAGTTATAAAACTTCTTCAGCCGGAGATAGAAAGAGCTTCTAAAGTCATGGTGGCAGTGCCTTCTTCCTGAACTTCATGTTTATCCAGCTGTAGGGGAGGACTGGCTGTGGAGCTTTGATTGTCCCAGGGTTCAATTTTCAGCCTTGATCTCCGCCTGGGGCTAGCAGCGAGTGGAGAGAGATGGCCTGTCAAGAATATTTCTCCAGGTTGCCCCTGAAAATGTTTTGGAAATGAGCCTTGAAGCACAAGTACAGCACATGTCACCTGCGAAGCACCAGGCATGTTACTGTATGTTAATGTCAGAATTCATTTATGTGACCAGATGGTTATATTTTGGCATGAAATGATTACAGATGTCATCTCCTCCTGTGTGTGCAAGTGCCAAAACCGCTGCAGTTCCAACCCCCTGGTGTCATGTCCCATGAAAACCCGAGGGCAGGAGCGTTCTGATCGGCCCGAGCGGGTACGGGCGCTGTGCGGGCGAGGCGTGCAGCCATGGCGTCTCCAACCCCTATCGGAAACTCGTGTTTTATCCGTGTGTTCTTCAGCTCTTTGATACGGGAGTGAATCACAGCAATTTTCCTTGACTCCCAAAAGCACGTAGGAGCTGAATCACAGTGTTGTGATCCATCTCCGGCCAGAGAAGCTTCTCTAACAAGCGTTACAGCCACGTCAGTGTGTTGCAACACTCATGTCATTAAAAATAGTTTTTCTAAGGTGGAAGGGACCTGCAGATTTTCAAACCTGTCCTCTGCCATTGGAGAGGTCTAGTTCTTAATGCATGTGATAAATAATGCCTTCACTTTCTAGGCTGATCAGCACCTTGGAGTTAGAGGTGAAATGAATCAATGTCTAACGCATCGCAGGACAGGGTGGAGGGACCGGATCATAAATCTTAAGTGGGATTATGTTTATCAAATCTCACTTCCACAGCAGCACTGCCTGGGAAAGAGCCTTGCGCTGAGTGGGTTTCACTGTGGTGTACAAAGAAGGGCTGGGGAGGGCTCTTCAGGGCAGAAGGGTTTGATCTTTATAAGATACTAATAAAATAACATTTTGTTGGGTGTCCTGTGCTCCTGGGGGTGTTTCCCAGCAAAGGGTGAGTGCAGACTTTGTCTGGTACCCACAGCCGGGCATCCTTGTCCTTCCCTTTTACTTACCAACCACAGTGTTTTCTTCTTTTTTTTTTTTTTTTTTTTTTTTTAAAAAAACCAAACATAATGAGACATCTTGGCCGTGCTTCAGGCCTCCTCTGGAGAGCAGCAGAGCTCAGGGGGAAAAGCTGGAAGGGTGCAGTGCCTCTGGATGGGATCTTAACCCTGTCTGCTTGGAATTTGTGATGGGAATTGTGCAGGGGCTGAGGGGCTGTGCCTTTCCTGGGTTTCAAGATATTTGCCTTGTTTGCAGCTGGCTACTAAGCAGAGAAAGCATGGAGAGCAGAGGGAATTCTTCCTGAAGATAAGCAGTTTATTTTAGCAGCGTGTATGGAACATGGGGATTTTGAGCGAGGCAGGATCACAAGGCAGCATCTCAGCCTGTTGGGAATCCGACGCTGCTCCCCGTCCTGGGCAAAGCAGGACACAGGACCCGCTCCCAGCAGTACCCGCTGGCAGAAGGAGCGCTGGGGGACTCCCACAGCTGGGTTTTGTGCAGGAAGCCTCCGCCCTGCAGCAGCTGGGTAGGTTTTGCAGGTTAGCAGCTTATTGATTTCTTGAAATAAGAAAAACCACGCTGGGTTCCCATGCTGGGTTCCCATGCTGGAGCTGCTGGCTCCCGGGGCATCCAGCTCGGGTGATTTATTTCTCGGTGCGTGCCGTCAGAGCTGCTCGGCAGCTTGTTCCCTATGGCTGAACACCTGATGGAAGAACAGTCTGAGCATAATGTCCCAAAGGGAGCAAAGCTCTGGCTCAGTTTCATCTCTTGCAGGTGAATTTTGCAGCCAAAGGCATTCTGCTGAGAAACAGCTACGCTTGGACCTGAGGATGTGCTAATCTTGGGATCTTGGTTGGCCGCAGCACTGTAGGTGTGCGAGGCCAGAGCTTCCTCAACAGAGAGCAGGTTCTTGACCTGATTTGAGCACTGGAAGGGCAGGAAGGTCTTGGACTCGCCTTCCTTCCTGGGGAGGCTGCAGCTCTGCTCTTGTCAAGCTCCTCAGCTGTACAGCCGAGCTGTGATAAATACAGCATTTGCACAAAGAAACTTGTTCTGTGTCCTTAATCAGCACCCGTTTGCTCCGTGAGTCCTCACCGGAGCTGTCTGCAGGAAAAGCCAGCCTGTTGTGGAAAAGCTGGGCTTGTGCGGAGCTATGAGGCTGCCGGAACAGGTACTGAAACATATTTGATGCTGAAGGTGTTGCAGAGAAGATGGGCTGTAACATCTCCGGTGTCCTGCCTCCTGCTTTTCGGGGCGCATGGGACCATGGCTCCTCCAAGCTGTGTCCAAAACTAACGTTCAAACAGAGGCACGTACTTGTGGGGATGCCCAGGGCGTGAAGGTTGTGTTTGCTTTATAAACATGCCAAGGACAGTTGTTTTAAAATGTCTGCGAGGTAAAGACTGCCGCGGAGGGGTTTGGCTGCCCTGAGACCAGCTGTGCTTTAGAGCAAAGCCTGTTTACACAGGCAGCTACGGCCGCAGACCTTCGTTGCCGCTGGGGCGGCTCCTCGGGGGGGGGGAGGTTTGGAAACCTGTGGGCAGGATGATGCTTCCCTCCTGCGCCAGGCTTTGCCGCGCAGTTTCAGTACAGAGTGATGCATAAAGGAAGGAGTCGTTGGGTCTGGTTTTCCCTGTCCAGCGAGACGATGCCCGAGCATCGTGCAGCACGTTGCTCCATCCCTGCTCCTGCCTCCCTCCCGCAGCCCGGCACAATGCGCTGCTGCTGGGTCGATGGTTGGACTCGCTACCTCCACATGTTCCTGAGCC